CTGTGTGTGGTTCCTGCTGCAGATGTGATTGAATTGACCACTTGAGGTAGTTTGGAGGGATTGATTCATGGATCGACGGAAGGGTTGGCTGTTATTTAACACTGGATGTATGGACAAACTGGCTGTCCTCTCCTTTTCCTACTGTGTGTCCTAACCTCCTGCCTCCTGTGTTTTGCCAAGCCTAAGAAAAATATTCCAATCTGTGGAGACCTAATTTCATTTCAACACCTCACTCCCTTTCTCCAACACATATTACAAACGAACTCACTGGTTTTGGAGAAGTCACAGCTATAATTTCTGTCTGGTTTTTAACATTGGTCGTGCTTCACTTTCCCGTATACTGCCGCAAAGCAATGATACAAATATGCTAACTGCAGTATTATTAAGTAACCTTGTAGTGCAGTATCTGGATTTGTTCATCTGTAACTCATAATGTATGTGTTAATAACATAACGTTTTTTGTTATGCATGTCTCTGACTCCACTCTGTCCTTTGCACCCCCTTGCTATTTTCCTCCTTCCTTTTGTTTGGTGGCATTGCTAGCTAATTTACACTTGATTATCTCTAATGTATTTACTGACTGTGAAGCACTTTGTAACTTGCTTTTGAAAAGTGCAATACAAACCAAAGATTATTATTCTCAGAGGTATTTTGTCATTGTGAGTCTAAATGTCAAATCTGTATTGCTGGAATTGTCCCGAAGTTGCCCCTCCCACACATAAATCTCATCTATTTTCCACACATGGTACATTGTTATTAGATTACAGTTCCCATGATATCCATATTATCTCCTGCAAAACATTCATAGCAAAATGCTGCATGAAAACAGCAAGGAGGCTGCTCATATTCCTATTGAAAACTATTTGTCATGACAAGAGAAAAGGACTCAGTGTTGCATTTTTGCTAAAATAATAAATATTTCTGGTAACTCATCCTTGTATTAAATGTGAGTTACAGTACAGTACACAGTATATTTCCTGTTAGGAACGGTCTGAAGTGTGGCTTAGAGAAGGCTCAGCCTGGCCTACCGTATTGATTTAAAGAAGCATAAAGTATGTGGATTTATGTGTGTCTCCTGTAGCATTCACCTGGTGTGGCAGATTACAGGAGTATAAACCAGGAGTATCAGGGTCGGGTTATACTCAAAAAGAAGAAGCTTTTGTGATGGTATGTCTGACCGGTGACATTTGTTATGGCTGTTTCCCCTGGAAGGTTCGGTGATAAGCAAGTGTAGTTAGTCGGAGATACTATATTGTAAGAACATGGTGTTATGGCGCACCATTTCAAACAGACTCTCCTGAAAGACTATGTTGTTCACATGAGAAATAGAGAGGTGAAGGCATGAGTCCTAAAACCCTGAAATAAGTCAGACTTTAACAACTTCGGGTTCGCCTGAATAAGGTCTGTGCTGAACACAAGTTAAAGAGATGTTCACATTTTGTTCTGTGACATAAAATATGTCAGTAAACACCCCTACCGGGAATGTCCAAAAGTCATAAAAACAGTGGTTGCTAACAAGTGACGAAATGAAACTATGAAATGTCATCACGTCGACACAAGTCCGCCTTTAGCTTAGCGGTGCGCAACCATGCGCCCCAGATGTAGCTCGATTATAGCCTAACGATAGCTTTTTACTTCTGGGGATTGCATTTACTCTTCAAAATTCAAGTGGTGTTAATATGTGGAGATTATCCAGCTGAACAAAATGTGTTAAGTATCAAAGACATGCCACAGAGCTTCTTTTCTGCAATACACCGAAATCCATTGGAGAAATCCCACTGCTTTTTGTCGAGGGAGCCGATGATTACTTCCACGTCGGCCTACGTCATCACTGCACAGCTCTATGACAAGTATTGATGCCTTTTTAACAATATCGCATTAGGCTTATTTATGAATATATAATATATGCAAATACTTATTCGTCCAGTCTGAATGAGTCTCCATGCTGTGTAGCAAGATGAGCCTCCTGAATTTAAACTTCAATGAATGTCAATCTTTCCTTTATCATGACCAACTTCATATTTTATTAACAGGGAAGCAAGCAATACAAAAGAGAAAGAAAAACAACACGGATCTAAGATCATAATTTGGCCGATTCACATAGTATAGTATATGACTATATGTTGTAGGTAATATGCAGTGGAATTGTTCTTGATTTTCACACGGGTAATATAACAGAAGTTCATGTATTATTACAAATGACCTGAGGTCTCCAGGTTCTACTAGTCCTGTGTGAATAGGGCTTAAGAAAATAAAAAGGTGAGAAACCCTGACTGATTTACACACTGGCCAGTCTTGGTGTGAGAGTTGGTATGAAACAAGAGCAACATTAGCATTCGCCTTACTTCTGGCTCTTCCTCTTTTGGTTTGTGCAATGGATAACCATTTTCAACACCTAAAGTGAAAGTCTTTTTGTCAACAGCCATTACATTATGGCTGTTGAAAATAATAACTTCAACACAAACACTTGTCTATTGCGACTTTATTGTGCCACTATGTTCACCTGCTGGTCGGAGGCTTTGTCTGCTGTTTTAGAGCAAAGGGTTTTATCAGAGCTTTCACACAGTAAACAGCTGCCTCTCTCTCTCCTTACACATTGTTGCTTGTTTGGTTTCATCCGTCAACAGGAGAACAAGCCAAACCGAGTTTAGTTCAATCGAGTCGAATTTCGACAGTAGACCTCGTTATTATGCGAACTGTGGCATCTGGAGCCTCAAAGAAGAAGATAAAGTACCAGTTTTTATAAAATACCAAAAATAACTTGCGATTTACTTAAAAATGGTTTGAAGACATTAATAATCAGTTCTTGATAAAAAAGATGGATGGATGGATGAAAAGAGAGACAGAGAGAAAGGGAGAGCATCTAGTGATGTTGAGAAGATTTACTTTGGTGTGACGTGGAATTATACATCAAGAGTGTGTGTCGAGTCTGTGACAAGACTAAATCTCAAGAAATGTGAGAACTGGATTTAAAGATGTGCTGCTTGCTCTGTTTCTTTTGAGTCTAGAAATCCTACTTAAATCCTCCTTACATAACGGCAAGCTGCTCTGATGCTACTCCACAGAGGTTCTCTTTTCACACCTCCATTCTCAGATCTTTCCCCTCATTAACTTACACTTGTGTAATTTAAGGATAAGGGCTGCTGTTCATGTACATCTCGGAACCAGAACAAGCGATGCATAGATATGATGCTACTTTAGGGGCGGATTCATATCAGCCATACCAGACTTTGGCTACAATTGTTGTCCTTGGTCTTTTCGCTAACCCTAACCCTTGCTTATTAAAAAAATAAAATGTCACCAGCTAAAGATGAGACATTGTGTAACCTGGTTTACAAACTGTATTGTGAATAGACTGTTTATTTTATCTGCTTTCTTATAAGTTATTCTTCCCTCATAGTAGTGACATTGGCGGTGGTGGTTTATATGAGCAGTTTCGTTTATTTATTTAGAACGAGGACTGATTAATTGGATGTTTGTTATGTGGGTCAGAGGTTGACTAACTAATTATATATTAAATTGTTGTGAAATCCTAAACAATGTTATTTGTTCCACACAAGTAAGAGATGAGATTTGAAGGGATTATCGCAGGGTGCAATTCCAATGACCCCACTTCTGACTTGATGTATCACTTCAGTCAATATTTTTTCCTTATGAGTTTATGGTCTCAATCACTGGTTTCAATGCTCCTACAATACGCCATAATGTTATTATTGTTTAATAAAAGAAAAGACAATGTGGGTAGTGCTAGACAGGTCTCGACCACACTCTTCTATATTTGGGTGTTTTCTGTGTTAACGTCTTCGAATTTTAACTCTTTTAAAGTGCGTTTTCATTAAGGAAAGTTACATTTTGGTTGCCTAAAAATGTCCTGTTTAACATTCGATTTTTCTCCATAATTCCATAAAACAAGATGGTAATGGCCAAAATGACAAACTTTGGACTTCAAAACAGTAGTCACAAACAAACCACTGGAAGACATTACAGTGAATACGACTAATTCTTTATACTGTCAATGGATAGTCAGTATGTTGTGGGAGACATTCATATACCAAGCAACAAGACCAGCACCTTGTTGAGGCTCTACATACAGATACAGTTTCTCCTGTGAGGAGTACATGGAAGGATGCAGCAGTGCTGTGAGGAGCTGTGATGCTATACAACAGCTACCTCACAGTTGATCAAGCGTGCGCAATCACTTAAACAGTGTGTGTGTGTGTGTGTGTGTGTGTGTGTGTGTGTGTGTGTGTGTGTGTGTGTGTGTGTGTGTGTGTGTGTGTGTGTGTGTGTGTGTGTGTGTGTGTGTGTGTGTGTGTGTGTGTGTGTAAACGGTACTAGATGGTGCTGAGTTGTCTCTTTGCTCTAGTTTCTGTGTGCTTATGCTGCCTGCGCTGGCGTCAGTGATGCAGTCTGTTGTAGTTTTTAAGACAAGAAGAGAGAGGGAAACTCTCCTGAGACTGATGAAGCACACGCATGCACACACACACACACACACACACACACACACACACACACACACACACACACACACACACACACACACACACACACACACACACACACACACACACACACACACACACACCTTAACACTACCACATTGCTCTAGTGAAACTCTGTTGCAGAGAGTTTCTGAGGGAAGGTTTTTTTCTCTGCAAGCTTTCACTTTGGTTTTGCTTTTTAGGACTCAGACCGTGCCAAAGTGCTTTTCCTGCGTTTGTGCACTTGTGTGTGTGTCTGTGTGTGTCATTGATTTTGTAAATTATTTTTGCGATTTCCCCTGGCCTGTTGCATCTGGTTTTGACCCCGACATTTACACCCTCACAATTGTCATCACCCCCTGCATATAAACACACAATGCCCCAAACACTCAAGAACACGCACACTCAAACAATTAAATAAATAGATGAATTGAATGACCGTAGTTAATTTCAATAATGCAGGCTTTGATTGTCTTTCTCCGCTGCCTCCCTCTAACACCCCCCCCTCTCTCTGTCCAGCCTCTGCTCCTAAGCTCCGGCTGATGCGAGGCCAGGCTCTGGTGGAAGGGGAAAAGCTGTACTTGAAGTGCGAGGTGTCGGGGAATCCCAACCCTTCCTTCCGCTGGTACAAAGATGGACACGAGCTTCAGAAAGGCAGAGACCTCAAAATAAAGACCAACAAGTGAGTCTGGATATTTTTTACCTTAATATTCACACTCCATATACCACAAGACAAATGACTGCCTCTTTTACTGCGATGGTTCTTGGCATGCAGCTCTGTTTTCGTGACCCTGAGTAACTGCACGTTGCTTCCAAACTGTCTTTCCAAGTAGAACATTTGACTTTTACTGACTAGCTGTTTCTGTTTCGTTCATCAACACAGCAATATAATAAAACGGTTTCACAGTTTGAAATGGGGTTTTATAAGGTGAACGTCCATAGTCGCCCTAATTGCAAACACCTAAAACAATATATACCAGTTTACGCTATATTAAGAATATTTTCTGAATTGAATCCTCCTTTCAATGGTGGAAGAAGTACTTTGTTCATTTACTTAAATCAAAGTTGAAATACTACAGTGTAAAAGTACTGAGTTAAAAGGAAATGTCCTGCATCCAAAGTTATTCTTAAGTATAAGTTCAACATGATTAGCATCCAAAGTATAGTTTAAGTACCAAAAGTAAAAGTACTCAGGATGCAGAATAGCCAGTTACGCACCATATATCAACATTTTTGTATTATAATTATTGATGCATTAATGTGTTCATTACTACAATGTTGCACTTGGAAAAAGAGGTGTTCATTTGATTGTCTTTATATATGCAGCTAAACCTATAATAATATATGATTATGTATGAGTTGATTTATATTTTGTAATGATAATAAGTAACTATGTAAAATAAATGCAGTGGAGTAAAAAGTACAGCATTTGCATAAAACATTTAGTAGAGTAAAATGATAAAGTAGCATAATGTCAAAAATACTGTAGTAAAGTACGAGTATCTCGATGTTTAAGTACAGTACTGTAAATGTACTTACGTACTACGTTACTTCTCACCACTGCTCTTTCCAAAGCCACCAAACTCCACTAAACACCTGTCATTTGACCTTTAAGAACGCAGGAGCTGCTGGTCTACTGCTGTCTAGATTGGTTAGTTTGTGTTTTGTGACTTTGGAGAATCCAAAACGAACCCTTTAAAAAACATCAAAGGTAAATATTCAAAATATATCATAAACTGAAACTGGTATAGATGTATTTAGGTGTTACAAATTGGTTTTGCTTTGCCCACTGCAGTACATGACTTTCTGCTGCCTGTTTCTCCTCACTGATGGCCTCCATCTACTGTAGGAAACACACTGACTGTGGATAAGTACTTCATACAACCCCACTTCCAAACACTTGAACTGTCCCTTTAAAGGAGTGCAGTGCCATTTATTGTACTCAGTTTCTTTCATCCTGCAGATTAGGTTAAGCCTGTCTCTGGTTTTAACTTCATAATTGTCCATTTGCTTTGATGGCCATTCACAGTGGACATTTGTATGCAATGATCAGTCATTTATTTCCTGTCTGGGCTGGAAACTAGAAATAATGTATCTTTTAGTCAGAGATGAGTCAACTGCTTGTTTGGAACAACAATAACTGACACTGTCTTTTGATCTGCTCTTTATCCCTCTCTGCCTCTCATCTTCTCTGAAGAAAAAACTCCAAACTGCAGATCAGTCGAGTCCGTGTGGAAGACTCCGGCAACTACACCTGTGTGGCTGAAAACTCACTAGGACAAGAAAACGCCACGAGTATAATCAGCGTGCAGATCTGTGAGCAATCTGTTGACTTTGAATTATTATACCTCACAAATATAAAGGTCCTATATGCTTTGCTCGTTTAGCCTCTAAGCCTAGCTAGTACACTTTGATCAACCTCTGTCCTCCTCAAACAGTTATACAATGGCTGTTATTCTGTTAGCAATTACAAGTAGCCTCTTTCCACAGGGATTTTGACTTTCTGAAAAAAACTAATTTGATCTCAGTATATAATATTGTACAGTATCTGATATCAAATTATTTAAAGGCGCCCTATTATTCTTTTTGGGTGTTTCCCTTTCTTGTAGTGTGTTACGTAGGTTTCTGTGCATGTAAATGGTCTGCTAAGGCTAACATCGCTGTGTTCCCTCCAGAGGAAGTTTCTCTCCCACACACTCCTCCCCCCCTGCCTGAAACACCTCCATTGGACTCCTTTGTTTACTTCTGTAACATATCACATACATCAAATTATATGTGATAGGCTAAGGGGCGGAACGGACATCTCTAAGCTTTTGACCAATCAGAGCAGACTGGGCTCTGGTTTCAGACAGAGGGTGAAAAGAGATTTTTGAACATTAAAGCATGGAGACATGTCACAGTAGAGGCATACAATACAAATATGAACCTGATAATCAGCATCATATGTCCTTTTTAATAGGCTGTGGAAATAGAATAATCTCAAACATTTTTAAAACAAGGCAAAATCTGAATATTGTAGCAAATTACTTTTACATATTTATTTAAGTTTACGAGGTAAATAAAAATATGGTAGTGTGTTGCGTGTATGAGAGCAGGTGTATTAGATGAACCTGGCTCTCTACACTCACAAACCAGCATCTGTGAGCTGCTGTGAGCTGCTGTGAGCTGCTGCAGCGGCGCAGTAGTAGTTGTAGCAAAGTGACTGAAGCCTTCCCAGAAAGTAGACAGATTCGTCACACTAAGCTCTTTGAAATTCAGGAGTCCGATAGATTTGTGGCAAACTTTTCAGTGGTGTTATATTTAGCACTACTTACATTTTCAACACCTTGTGATTTCCCTCGTAGTGACCACCACCACCCCGTCATCAGGTGTGAGTCATGCGAGGCGCTGCAACGACTCGGAGAAAGCGTACTGCGTCAACGGAGGCGACTGTTACATCATACATGGTATTAACCAGCTGTCCTGCAAGTAAGTCTGCTGTCAGTCGCCCCACCCCCCCCGTCCCCTCAGTCATCACTGTGTGGTCTCTCCCCCGTCTCTCCCCCTCCCTCTCTATCTCTGTCTCCGTCCCTCTGGTCTCGTTGTTCCCTCCCCACACACTGTACATGCAACCCACTCACTGAGCAGCGTGTATGGCTTGTTATCTACAGAACATTAAAAAAGGGTTTGTATAAAACAGATTTTAATATTAGACACGATGTCTGCATGCATTACATTTTGTTGTATCTTGCTCCAAGTGGAATATTTCAACCCAGTCTCACTAAAAAACGTGTAATAACTATGTTGGTCCACAACGTAGGACGTAGTATTTATACAAAAACGCCTCTGAAATTGTAGGATCCCTACGTTTTTTTTCACCATTCATTCCAATGGCTGGCGTCTATGTCACGTGATCTTCAAATTTCTGCCTGCAGAAAAAAAAAACATGGCCGAACTTTGTTTTATTCTCGGTGTAAAATGCCTATTTTAAAGTTAGTCTGGCCATTAAAATGCGTTTTGATGTCATTTGATGCGAGAAATATGAGTTTATATTTCAGATTATGTGTGCAGTGGATGCACATGATCTTTAGTTTGCTAGTTATTACGAAGATTACTTCAGGAAATTGTGTCTATACAACATTTTCATTGTCACCAAGGTGGTTGCTAGGGATGCTGCTATCGATATTATTTCTGTTATGTTGTGTAACTGTTTAATGGTGTTATCTTTATTGCTACCCCCTTCCCCGTCAATATATAGTGTTGGTCCACAGCGCAAACGTATTAGTTTAACAAAATCTGCATCGAAAATTGTGGCATAGATACGTTATTTTCCCCTGTGCAATTCTCCATTTACTCAACAATAACACATAATTATCCTTGTGTTTATTTATTTGTTTGATTAATAAACACAAGTTGGAGTCCGTCAGGACCGAGGGTCGGAGCAGCTCATTTGCTTTACAGAATATTACACCCGGAAGTAAGTATTCTCTCCGCTTCGCTTGACAAACCCCGTGATAGTCCTCAAGCTCTGTGATTGGAGAGTGTGCCGAGCGTCGAACAGCACTTGAAATGGGATGGAACCACGGCAGACTGTCCAAAACTGGATTTGAACGGGTCCACCCCGTCCCCAGAACTACACATGCTGGCTATTGTGTTTCGCAACATGCTCTATGGCACTCCTCTGGGAGTTGTAGTTCTAAAAGACGTTTTCGTATTTCCCATAATAAGAAGTGGCCAGTATTAAACTGTGTACATCCCTGGAGGTTTAGGGGATAGGAAACACTCAAATGTAAAACATATAATTAATAAATGGGTGAAAATTGCTTGTGCCCATAATGGGTAGCATTACCCACATGCCAGCTAAGGTCAGAGGAGCTTTATTTAACAGCTGGTCTTATGTTTGTGACCCCTCCTGTTGTTAATTGATAAGCCTGAAACATGCACTTGTCAAGGTTCAGAGGCAAATATGGCAGTAGCCATCGATCATCTTAAGATAAGATATACTTTATTGATCCCAAGTTGGAAACATTTGCGTTACATCAGCATGTGTAACAGTTGTAAATATGCAGTGGTGTTTATTTGTAAATCATTTAGTATAATCACACAAATTCTGTGTTTTATATTTAATAATTCTGTGTTCTTTATTTATTGATTGTTCAATACCTGACAAGGCCGGAGATGAAAAACTTTGGTTGCAGGTTCCTCAACAGTGCATTACAAGACATCTATTAATATTTGTGTACCTCCACCATTAAACTGTCGTATTCTGCACATTTCTTATACTATCTACATACCTCTTATATAAGAGTATAATACATATGTATAATATCAGTTAAAATAAGTGCTTCAACATAGTTAACATTGCTGGAGGTATACACAACGTTTTTCATTCATTGCATAACTACACTGTTTGTGAATATGATATGTCAATAAACCTTAGAAAATCTTGAAATCTTGAAAGGCTTGACAGTCTTTAATGAACTATTAGTAGAGAATAACGAGTAATGAATATACTTTATAGGGATCCTATTAATATCTAATAATAAAAATAATGAAATGCAATAACATGCTTTAACCACTAGGTGTCCCTTTATATCAGCTGTGCACCTTTATGGTGTAAATACAGCCTATCTACCAATTGGATCAAATATAAAAGTCAGCCAAATTAGTGTTGATACTGCAAGGAGACGTATTGTGTGAAAAATAAATGTAAGATGTTGTTTAATGGCTGATATATTTATGATCCATGTCACGTTTTCAGTGTTGGCGGCAGTTCCTCATGTTTGTCTAGAAGTCTTCTCATCAGGGCTCTATAAATAGAGAATTACGGCAGATATGTAATATTTAATGCAGCCGAACCGTGTATTACAATGCCGTTATGTGATGACCTCCAAAGAGAAAAGCAAGCACACTCGGAATAAAGTGTTTTCGGTCTGTTTCCGGTATTTGTTTATGACGATGTGCTGTGAGATGTGAGACTGGAATTGCACAGGGGAAAATAACGTATCTATGCCACAATTTTAGATGCGGATTTTGTTAAACTAATACGTTTGCGCTGTGGACCAACACTATACATTGACGGGGAAGGGGGTAGCAATAAAGATTACACCATTAAACTGTTACACAACATAACAGAAATAATATCGATAGCAGCGTCCCTAGCAACCACCTTGGTAACAATGAAAACGTTGTATCGACACAATTTCCTGAAGTAATCTTCGTAATAACTAGCAAACTAAAGATCATGTACATCCACTGCACACATAATCTGAAATAACAACTCATATTTCTCGCATCAAATGACATTAAAACGCATTTTAATGGCCAAACTAACTTTAAAATAGGCATTTTACACTGAGAATAAAACTAAGTTCGGCCATGTTTTTTTTTTCTGCAGGGAGAAATGTGAAGATCACGTGACATAGACGCCAGCCATTGGAATGAATGGTGAAAAAAACGTAGGGATCCTACAATTTCAGAGGCGTTTTTGTATAAATACTACGTCCTACGTTGTGGACCAACGTAGTTATTACATGTTTTTTTATGAGACTGGGTTGAATATTTTAGTTCGGAGTGAGAGGTGTTCTTGTGACAACCCGCGAAAATGCTTGTGTTAACAGAAAAAACGTAACAGAGAGAGGTGTGTTGATGATGATAGTACACAATCAGATTTAATTTGTAATATTCAATATTATACATTTCTATACAATTGTTGTGTTATGATGAAAGTTGTGTTGTCCCTATATGAAAACAGTTTTTGGACCACAGGAAAAATAACTTATGCAATGCTGTAGCTAATTCTAATAAACTATGCATTTAATAAACCAATAAAGTAATGAGCCCATACGATTTAACATGAGATACAAATGACATCTACATTGGTCTATGCTGGGTAAGCAAACAGCTAGCTTGTGTAGCATGGCAGTTGATTTGATTTCTGTAGATGAAAATCGTTTCTGCAGAGCACTGTATCCCTCAGAGGAAGTTCACAGGGATATGAAGTTATAAAGGACGTCCCGCTGACGTAGAATATCAGCTGCTGCCTCTGTTGCGGCTTTCACACCAGCGCTTTTCCCTTTCTAGCTCCGAGCTAGAGCTTTTCTGGTTCAGCTCCGGTTTCCCTTTTCTGCTCCCGCTCTGTTCACACCGCCCAGCACCCGACTGGTGCTGCCGCTGCTGCGTCATGACGTCACCGTTTACATCGCTGATTTGCTCCCCAAAGGCATTACGGCGCTCACAACAACAACAACAACAACAACAACGGGGAACTGCGTCGGGTCGATGATCGTGTTGCTTTTAATCACACGAAGCCAGATTAAATTGAATAACGACTTCTCCAACCTTATACTTTGCTCCAGAGTGCCGTGGTTCATTGTTTATTAATGTGTTTCTGCAGCATTTACCGACCGCTGCAGTGTTGGCTGCTCTTCCACGGGAGTTTATTCTCATCCGTTAGCTCCCGGTTAGCTCACACAGCTGCGGCCGCTCTAAAGTATTCACTGTCCGACTCACACAAGCAGCTGATACATATCCCCAGTTCCCCTTAGCCTAAGTGAATGTGTGTCAGTCTGAATTGACGCTGTTTGGTATCACAACGCTGTTATGAAAGTTTCTCTGGTATAAAATGGGTGATGTTAGCATAGCAACCGAAGCTAAACTGACTACTTGCCAAGGGCGCCGGAAGCGGGGGGGCATTGGCCCCCCCACTTTTCAGCCCTGCCCCACATTTTCGCAGCAGCAGATTTTTTTTTTTTCTTTTTTTTTTTCTTTTCAGTCTTTATTTCGAACAGATTCAAAAATAACAAATAACAAATGTGTTATAATTTTGTTATAATACAGTATTTATCCACATTCATGGTAACATTTGTATATTCAACAAAAAAAACAAAAAAAGTCTTCATATTAATAATAATAATAAATCATATGTGTCCTAAAGGGAGCAGGAGGAAGCAAATGCTTATTAATTCCCACCCCTTACTTGATCAATGATTGTCCTTTAAATCATTATGCAAGTTATTCCTACTTAGATTTACACGTATACATACATATACAATAATTTCTCGTCTTCAATCACCTTTCTTCATTCTCATATTTTTCCAAAAAAGTGTTTCTGTACATCCTTTTAAACTGAATTATGCTTGTGCTTTGTTTTAACTCCTGCTCCAAACCATTCCATAAAATCACCCCACAGATTGTTAAACTCATACTTCTCAGAGTTGTTCTGACCTTGAGTTGTTTAAAATGTAGATTTCCTCTCAAATGATACCCACTCTCTCTGTCTATGAACAGTGTTTTTAATTTCCTAGGAAGTAGATTATGTCTGGCTCTGTACATGATTTGTGCCGTTTTAAATTTAACCAGATGAATGAACTTCAATATGTGTGACTTCAAAAATAATACATTAGTGTGTTCAAGATATCCAACATTATTGATAACTCTTATAGCCAGGGGTGCACATAACTTTTTTGCCCTGGTTCTCAAAGGAGCAC